AACGTTAACAGCATCTTCTCGAATGCATTCCTGATGACTAGAAGTTGAATAAATTTAACGTATCTGTATAAGTATATATATGTTATACGTATCAGTCGTATAACGTTCAATTAAATTACTTAAAGATAGGCAGTTGTGTTCATGTTATGCATTTTAAAAAAACGTATGTGTTAGATTATATTTTTAAATAATTGTTATGATTATACAGGGCTATCAAATCCTATAAGATAAAATCGTATAACATAACGAAGAAATTATATCTTTGTTCTTTTAAAGTATTCTCAAAATTATATGATGCTTACATATCGTCTCCATAGGTCTATTTTTTTTGGCTGAACTTTTGCACCAGTTCATCTTTCTTCCTCTTCTTTCCTCCTGGAGAGAAAAGGAAGAAAGATGAACTGGTGCAAAAGTTCAGCCAAAAAGAACAGGCCTCATAATGCCTACTGCATACTGGATGAGCGATGAGCGATGAGCGACAAGCAATATCCAATAAAAGCTCTGCTTTTTCTCATGTGACGATGTAAAACTAAGGTCTCATTGGATATCGCTCCTCTGCAGTAGGCATAAAATACATCATTGGTTGCGTTCAACTGTTGCAGATCCGTGAGGGTTCGCTGCTATTGGATGATCTAGAAGAATACACCAATAGCAGCGAGCGCTCACGGATTCGTTTCGCAACAGTTGAATCTGCTGAACGCGATCATTGTTCTTTCTATCTGCTTCCTAAGTTATATTACAGTTACGTTTTAATTTGCTGGAAACTGTGTTTTTACATCACAACTAATTTATCTTATCGTACGTGAGAACACATCACAGTCATAAAAAAAATTTAGTTTAAAACATATTTCATATTTTATATGAAAATATATGTTAAAATACAGTATGAAATATTTCATAAATTAAACTACTAATAATTTTAAACAATTGGTAATTTCACTTTAATATTTTTATACGCTGAATAATTAGAAAAATTATACTAAAGTAACTTTAAATTAAGAAGCGCCACTAACGGTCTGAACGTTAAGATGTTGAACTATTCCAAATTCATTTTAAATGAATTAATTTCAGAAATTATGATTGCTTGCCGATATGGTTGTCAGACTTTCAACGCAATCAAATCTGAAATATTAATAATCCCCCCAAATTTCTCCCAACTTAAAAACTGTAATAAACTTATTGCGAAAAATAATACCTCGGCCGGAAGTCGAACCCGGATCTCTTGCATTCCGTGCGAGGTGTTGACCAATGAAATTATCAGTATTCTAGTAAATTCGCTCACTTTTGTAATTTTCACCTCGTTTCAAAATACACAATCGATTCCCTGTACTTACATGTCCCTTCGTGCACTTTGTTGCACTAAACTTCTACAACAAATAAACCCGTATTAAACTAAAGAACACATAAATTAAGCACTCGTACATATTTTTTTGTTCATAAATAAAGTAATTACAACTAAAAAGCATTAATTTATATATTTGACGGCTTTATTTTCTCAAATAAAGCACGTAATACAAATACATAAATTTGAAATGGCCGTGTTTTGCGACAAAATGGATGCGGGTTTGCGGTACTTTATAGACATAGGTTGCGTTTCGTTTCATGCATGATGCATTATTTATTCTTGTTACTCACCAAATGTTAAACAAGGATAAATGATGCACATCATGAGTGAAACGGAATGCACCCCTAGTGACTTTATAGTCATGAAACAAGCATATGTTTGAGAAAAATTTCGGGAGGAGACACTGGAGAGTTTCAAGTCTCAAGTTGTTTATGCACTTCATGCTTGATGTCTTGATATTCTTGATCTTGATAGCCTGTGACATGTGGCCTTGGTGCAGATGATCATATTTGACACATCTTCATATTATTTATAAAGCTATCTTATTTGTTATATGTATGAACTTAAGATTTTCTTATTAATTATAAATTCAGTCGTTTAAGATTGTCTTATTTGACATATATGCTATTAAATAAGGTAAGTTTGGTCAAGTCTTGGTCAAAGATGACTTAAGCAAAAGTGAATACAAGGTTAAGAACAAATTTGCATGTTTCAGGATTCTTTAGAAAATCTGGAAAAATTCACAAATCTGAAATGGTTAAAGAACAGCGATATACGTGGAAATTGCGAGTTTACAAAATCAGGAAACTCAGGTATCTGTCTCTGGCGTCTTTGCTCCATAACTTTAACAATAGAATCGAGAATCTTAACTACTACTTTTTATCCTCTCGCATAACATGATGTAGAGGACTGAATATTGGTTGAATATAAAGATTTTTGAAACTTATAATTGTTTTTGGTAGAGTCATAAGTTAATGCATAAAGGTTTATCTTACTGGGTGCTTTCCATTTGGGGTACGTTCCATTATTTAACATTCCCAACTTTTGTAAGCATCATTGGCTGCGTTCAGCAGACTCAACAGTTTTGCAACCGTTTTATGATTGTCTGCTGAGATAGGACCATTCTTCTAGATCTAAAAGTATGATCCAATCAGCGCAAAGGAAACTTCCAACAGTTGCAAAACAAACGTTCTGCTGAACGCAGCCATTTTATCCTTGCCATTAAATGTTAAACAAAAATGAAATGATGCATGTATATTAGAGAGATTTATTACATTTGTATTGATTGTGTTGTTATATTATTTTATCATAGGCTCACGGTAGTCAAGCTTCTACTGGTCCATCGACCCATGGTAGATAACGATGACGCTGTAACCATTACCAGCAATTTGCGGGAAAAATGGAAACAATCAGAAGGAGAGAGAAGAACTTATTATGTAAACTATAAAAAATATACTACACAATGGAAGGATCCTTGAACTCAAGATCAAGAAACTGGAATGAACCATCATTGCCAGATGATTGGGAAATATAATTAACAGAAGATAGGGTGATATTTTGTGGATCGCAATACTCAAATGATGATTTCAGGATCCAAGATTTAATACATCCAAAAGGTTAGTGTCAAATATATTACTCAAGCTTACCTAATATGCATAAGCCATGTTCAGGTGTACACAGCCAGTACTGAAAATCTATAGTATTTGTAATAATTGTATATTAGAACATGGCCACAGTAAAATAAAAAAAAAGTACTATAACTACAAAATCCTATTTTCCTTGTGCAGCCTGAAAGATGTATATCGTGTTCCAAGGATATAGAAAAGGTCATTTCAATGAAGACTATCTCAATTCCGATTCTTATGCCAACTGCTAATGCTATCATATTAAGATTAGCGTTAGTTAGTTAACAGATGTTATTTGAAGATTTTTTACCCCATCAAATAATGAACTCGGAAGTTTTTGTACTAAGATGATTGTATATAATATTTAAAGGAGAGGGGAGGGACTGAATTATGGAAGTGTACCTAGGTACACTTCCATAATAGGTATGATATATATAAATAATTAATAAGAAACTTATTAGTAAAGAAATGTGTAATTCATATAATCATACATCCACTTTGTATGAAAATCTATAATAGCTTATATATGTAGTCATTCTTAGTCGCCATGGAGAAGTTAAATAATTCTGATTTTTATAGGGAATGATTTTCCTTGTTAAGCCACGAAGTTTTAAATCTGATATATTGCCTATTTGAGTATGCTAATAAAAGCAATTACAGTTTACGAATAAATCCAGCATTAAACGTCAATCCTGATCATTTACAGTATTTCAAATTTATAGGAAGTTTTATTACAATGGTAGGTTCTTATTTTATACAAAAGGATTTATAGATCAGGTTTTTTTGTATTATATTACATGATAAAGATCATCTACTTTTTTTTTTCAAATTCCTTATCACTATCGACTTATTTATAATAGATTTTCAATATTGTTTTGTAAGCGCATGTTGAATAAAAAATTAGTAATAAAGGATATAGAATCCATCGATCCAGAATTTTACAAATCCCTCATAAATAAAAGAAAATAACGTTGATGAATATGGTCTAAAATTATATTATAGTGTAGATTTTAAGATTCTTCATCAAGTCATGCAATACAAGTTAAAGAGAGGTGATAAAGTTAGAATAGATGAAGACAATAATGAAAACTACATTAGGTACATTTCTTTGTAACAAAGATATTTGTGATATAGAAAATCATAAAAAAAGGAAATTATACATATGTACGTATATCGCTGCATAGATAGAAAATTGCAAAAGTAAAGAAATTAGTATTTTTGAGATGAAAGAAAAGGAAATAAGAGGAAATCGATCCTGTAGACTAATATATTTTTATGAAAAAGCTATACATGTATGTATATAAAAATATAAGAATCTTACTTACTATACTATATAAGAATCTTATTATAGTTGTAAAGCTGTTTTTTCTGCTGAACGCAGCCCATGTTACAACAAAAGTGCGATTCGCCATTCAAGATTTTAATTCTTTAAGACCATTCAGCGTGTCAACTGGTTATGGGAAAATACTTATTTGTATTATTGGAGATTGACCACAGAATTCTACGTGGCGGATCACGCGGAGAAATATAATTCAAGTTTTTGTTCTGCGCTGAAGAGATGGCTAGAATTTAGCTAAAACGTACATACGTGACATGAAAATATAATTTTTATTAAGGTCTGTTAATTATTTAAGCGCAACACTTATAGCACCGATTTCTAATTGTCCGTTTTACTTTTTTATTTGATTATTTGCAAAATGTTTATTTCAAACTGATTTGATAGGAACATATTGAAAATCACATTAAAAATAACATAATTTCGTCAAAATCTGATCTTTAATTGCAATTTTCAATATTTTTCTATCATTTAACTTGAAATTTGCAAATGATTCAACATTGATCTTATTGCCATGGTATAAATCATGTTAAACCAATCATATTAAACAATTTTACAACAGTTGCAAAGCTGGTTTCTCTGCTAAACGCAGCCGATTATTTGATTTTTTCACAACATCTCGCTTTTGACTGTCTTCATCAAACTTCAGCTGAATCTAGAATTTTTGGCAGGTTATTATACGTGAAGAGAAAAATTTTTAATCCGTCATTTCTTTTGATGTTGACAAAATATCATAATATTTAAGTTATGTATTTATTTGAAATTGCTTAATCAGGACATTCGCGAAGATAATCATGTATCTGATATATCGCTTTTTTACTAGCATAATTTTTGCGGTGATAAATACGACTATTGTGTTGTATATGTGTCAACGTGTAGGTTATAACTATTTTTAAATATTATTTTATTCCAACATTAACACTCCAACATATATGATCTATCTCATATATCTATCAATATATATGAGAATATTATCTTATACAGAACAGAAGTTTGCAACAACATTACTGCAACGTTTACAATATATTGCTATAATATTGCTAAAATGATCTGTATTGTATGGGATTTACAGACAATAATAGTAATTTTTTTATTATACTCATTTGTTTGTTAGCTTTAGACTCTGTATACATTGTAATGTAAGTACATAAAATTTGAAGACATTAAAATTATTTAATTCTATCGACATCATCTGAGATCAGATATACATAATAATGCATATGATGGAAAAATAGTCAAAATTTTAGAAAAAAATTAATTATTTAGTATGAATTACTTATTATATAAAGTGTCCTTAAACTAAATTAAAAAATTTTTTAACGTGGTTCCAATAAAATCAGATCTGAAGAGATTAAAAAATATTAGCCATTATATCTAAATATTGAAGGAGTATAATATGAAATAACACATATTTCATATTATACTTTAATTATTATTTAACAAGTATTCGATTACGCATGTATATAATGTGTAACATTTCAGTTTTTCCGAGTGATGAGAGCGCATTATCAGATTATGGCCGAAGCTGAGAGATTTAATTCAATTGTAATATATATTTTACGCAAAAGCAAATGATACATTGAATTTTTTTTAATTTACGAAATGCAATTAACTATCTTCATTGGAATGAAATTAAAATCAGTTACAAAAATCAATAACAAATAGTATATTGCTACTCAATAGATTTCTGAGTCACGTGCAAGCCTCAATTACATCAGCTCGAAGATATCTGAAGGAATGGATCAGGTATTTTAAGGAAATCATTTTAACAGTTAAATAATAATACAATGTATTTTATAATGTTTATTAATTTTTAATAACTATTAATAAAATTAATAAAATTGTATAGATGAAGGAAGATATTGCCAGAGAATTGTTCATTACCGATCATTTAACGAAACTTAATTCGAGAGTAGGCCTGTTACTGCAACGTTATTCCGAATTGGAAGAAGGATTGATTGAGGTATAATTGTATGAAAGACAAAAATATATGACTAAGCTTTTACATTTAATTTCAAAAATAGAAAAGACTTTAATATAGTTTAACGAATTTGAAATATTTTAGTATCTCACGATAAACTAATACAAAACAAAGTAGAGATTTAAACATTTTTTTCGAAGAATATAAAGGAGAATTTTTTTATTAGTCATTATAGTTTAGTTCAATTTTAATATAAAACATGATGCTATTAAATGCATTAATTTTTTTAATGCTACAATTATCTCTTTTGAGAAGCGCATGTGCGCACGCAAGACAATAAATTCGGATCCATATTTTATCTACATGCAAAAATCATACATTTAAATTTCTTGTTTATTTGAGATGCAATTAAAAACGTTGTTATCTTATCACGCATAATTAGCTAGTAAGAATGAATCATAATATGAAGAGCGTGCGGATTGAAACCCCAATTGACATCAACGAAGAAGTCAAGTGTATCCTTACAGCGGCAAAAAAAAAGCAATCGCAGCAGCAGCAACAATCAGATCATCCTCGAACACCGACGAAATTGCGGACATCAACAAACACTTCTACAGGAGCGAAGGATTCTCAGCCGCACAATTTCATCACGAGTTCGAAGTTCCTTACGTCGCAATCATATGACACCGACATCTCAAACGCGACATTTGAGAGACAAGAAAGACGTACGCCTGCATATCCGGAAGTTCAGCTATTGAACGATTCAAGACCAACAGTTGATACAAAAGCCATTGGTTTTCGACCATCCTGGAAGTGCGAAACTTAAGATAACTGTCAGATAAACATGTTTTTGTATCTCTTTCGATTTCTTCTTTTTCTAATAATTGTTATTGTTCATAAAAGTATAGAAAAAATTTAGACTGTGGAATAAGATAAATGAATACAACGCTTCTGTGTTTGCCAAGTATTTCTGTTTATCACAAAGATATTCAACTTTCTAAAAAAATACTGCAATCATACGAAAAAATTAATTCATTCAAAAAATTTACATACGAATGTGTTTATAAAAGTATGTGTGTGTATATATATATATATATATATGTGAAGAAATGATAAAACGGTATAAAAAGATTGCAAATGCTGTATTCTTAGAAAATAAATGTTCATTAAAATAGTCTATATATATATATATATATATATATTACTATAACATATTACAAAATACAATTTATAAAATAAAAAAGATTTTATTTCTTTTATTTTAAAACTAAAATATCACTAAAGAAATAATATTTTTTTTACATTTTCATAGTTATACGTCATTTGCAACCTTTTTGTTATTCTCCAATTAGCCAGCAATTTATTATCGTTCTTTTTATTTAGTTACACATTTTTACAGAATGACAGTATACAATAGAGAGAACAAACCACGTGATACATTTTATCCGATCATTGATCGGTCAAATTTCGTTAAAATGACAAAAGATTTAAGTCATTTCTAAATTACAAAGAGGGAAGAAATATCTTTGCCGTTTATGCTTTGGACATAAAGATATTTGAGTATACATATTTGCCCAATAGAAAGTCCTTCAAACAAGTTCTATTAAAGAGAAATGACACTTATAATGTTTGCATCTCCTGTTATTTCTCTTCTTAAGATTTAATCACATTGAGTATTTATTTTTGCACCATATATTTCTGAAATTCAAACAATGAGCTGAATTAATATATACAACTAATTACACATCAACAATATATACACGCCGTTTATATTTAGATATGAATTAGCTATTTTTATGATACAGAATATTTCGAAAAATCATTGAAAATAAAACGAGAGTAAGAGCTTCTTTTAAATAAAATCTAATTATTTTATTTAAGTATTATATTTTGAAATAAATAATTATTTCTCATATATTCTAGATATCCTTATGCAAAAATTTTTTCGTAAGTTTAGTTAAATAAAAATAATTTTTTTGTATTCCTCAATTTTGCTTAATTTATACGAGGATGAACTAACAAATATTCAACTTCAGCTACAAATTCTATTCTTATTGCACAAATTTTTTTATATAGGCCTTTACTAGTTGCAAATATCTAATTTTAACTATTAAAAAAATCTTTGAGAATATATATTATATAGTTAAATATAATTTCTGTAAAAAAATCTACTTTAAATTTAATTGAAATTTAATTGAAATACGCGAAAATCTATTTCCATCAGAATTTAATTCGTCATTTATAATTTTTTAATAACTAAATACATGAATGATTTTATAATTTTATCAATGTCTTGCAAATAAAACAATTTCCACTTTCTTAGTTCATCCTGTATAATTTGGAATTGAAAGTATACAATTAGTAATTTTGTGCATATCGAGAAAAGAAAAGATTATATTCAACTATTTTGCAAAAAAATCTACAATTTTGCTTGAAAAATAACCTCATGATTATAGGTGTGTGTGTACGTTTCATAATATAATAAAGTTCATTGTAATAAGTTCAGTTTTAAATTTGTAGCCTTTAGAGGACAGCAACAATAAAGCGATGATTTTAATTTCATTAATGTCAAATATCTTCCGAAGTTTCGTATAGATTACACGATTTTTTTTTTTAATAGAGCAAGTGTATACAGTTCGCATTCTGCGATGTTTCTCAGTGAGCTCATTTTTGCCCCCATCCCCTTCTTCGCTCTTTCTTATCCTTCATCTTGCTACTCTCTTCTATTCTGCGTCAATTAACGTCGCTGCCTATCTGCCAGATAATTATTGAGCCTTTTGACAAATCCGCCCCAACTAGCTCGATCGATCTCATCGAAGTTGCGCTTAAAGAAGCTGTCGAACGCAGTATCAATTTCGTCGATGTTCCTCTTTGAGAAATGATCGAATACTGATCGGTCGATCTCGTCGAAATTGCCAGGCCGTATGTTCATCACGCTGGGTTGCCTGCAATAATGGATATACTGTAACGAATATACAGGGTGTCCGAAAAATCGAGGTCAATACTTCGGAAAGTGATTCGGGATCCAAAAAGAAGGAAATATTCCTTTTCTATATAAATTAATAAACGACGTTTGTTTTAAAAACGCAATAAATTTCAGAGAGAGAGAGAGAGAGAGAGGTACGGAACTTGGCCGACGGAAAAAAGATGTAATTTAAATGAAATTTTATATTCATTGCTTTTTAATTTATTTTTCAAGTTAGAAAAATATTACCTTTTACTTTTTCACGAGATGTTTACAAAATCGATTTCTTTTATCTATAAATGTGCTTGTGAATATATCATACTAATAAATAATACAAATATACATTATATTCCTTTTTTTTGACGAAAATTGTTAGAAGGAAGGAGTTTTCGATGAAACTAGTCAAACACGATGGAAGTATGAATATTTATAAGTCAGATTAGCTAGAAGCGAAGTTCAATAGCAACGAACATTCTTTCCTTCTTTCTTTTTTTTCAGTGAACTCGGACAAACGTAACTGAATATCCATTACGTGATATTACCTGACATTCGATATTTATAAAAACAGTGGCATATATTGAAACAAAAAGGAACAGATTGATGCTCGTATCACATTAACAATTGAAGGTTGCATTACGTTTCTCTTGATCAATCAGAAAGAAACTATTAACCAACAGTTTCTTATCAACATTCTATTTTACAAAATTTATTATTTTTCTAAAATGTCACTTAAAAATAGTTTTACTATACAAGTAATCGCAGTGGGATATGGTCATATTCGGAAAAACAAATGTAAACAATAATAATATTATTCAACAACAAAAATACACGAAAACGAGGATAAATTATTTTCTGTAGTTTTTTGATCTACGATTTTCTTTACCAAATTTTCTGTCATTTCACAATGTTGAAATATTTGCAAAAGAGGGCTATTTTAGTTTACTTTGACACAATATATCTATAATATATGACGTGATACAAAAGTTTCACACGCATTGTAACTAAAATCGTTTATAGAATTATAGTTAAAAAATATTTACTTAATATTTAATTAATATTTAATTAATATAAAATACATCAAAGAGGCTTATATATATGTATATGTCAAGACCATTGCAGATCGTCTCTAATCTTTACGTTTATCTTAACTTATAGTAATAAATATTTACATTAACAAATTTACATTTGTTTAATGTAGTCGCTAAATCACTTATATATTGCGATATTTAATGGAGAGTATCTCGATAAAAAATTTAATGGAATACGAGACTTTTTGATTATTTGATAAGCTCATTTTATTATCAGAGATCGAAAATGAGGTATCGATAATAATTTACCTGAAAGGTATAAACCTCTTGCTCTCACCAAAGGTTGTTCCAGATAACGGATCCATTATTCCTCGATGTCCCTGTCGCAACAGATGGCCGATACCATTTATATTGTGACTGCCCATACCTTGAAAATTTCAGAAAGCTGCACTAATATCTCTGTTAATTTTAATGGAAGACTGGACAATATTATAGAAAGATCGGATAACCGGATTTTATCTGGAAATTGTACAAAAAGAAAAATTGAAAATCTAATCGTTTTTTACAATAAAAAAATTTTTTTTATATAAACCATTATAAATATAAAGATTTAATTTTTATACAAAAGATAGAAGATTTATACAACAGATTTACGATATTGCAGAAATGCTTATATTTCTTCTGAAAAATATAAAAATATTTAATATATCTTAATTAATATTTAAATATTATTTTTAAAATGTGTAGTTTATAAATTGGTCAGATATACATATAATAAAATGTATTGAAAGTTTAAAATAGGTATGTGTAATATTCTTTCTATACAAATTGTGGAAAACGATTTTTTCTACAATCCGGCCGGATAGCCGAATTATCTGGCCGAGTGATTGGATTATAAAAAACCAGTTGAATACCGGACAATTGCCGGATATCATCCCTAGAAAGAACAGATACGTTAGATAATATTTTATTAGTTTTTTGTTTAATAAAACAAAAAATACGATAACAAGAAATAGCAAAATATAATAATGTTCAAATTGTCGCTTTCCTTTAAGTTGATTAAATATTTGATGACTGTTACGATAATTTGATAGGCTGAATGTACCGCGAGAGAATTTTCAGAATTGAGGAATTTATTGTGAAAGTAACAGAATACATTTTTATATTCTATAATATCTGTGTGACGTATATTAAAAAGAATTTTGAGATAAATATAAATTAAGAGAAATTGATCCTTTTTGTTTTAGTAACGTTAATTTGTATATTGTTAGTATATTTTATTATAAAACGTATACATATAAAAAAAACGTGATATATGGAATTTTAGAATAAAATTAAGTGATAAAAAAAATTAAGTTGTATAGTTAATTTACAATGTATGCATAGGGTTGTTAGATGTCAGGTTTTGAACCGGACTGTTAGGTATTCAGAAGTCTTGTCCGGTGTCCGGTTGATATGTCAAACCGGACGTCATATGTCCGGTTTTTTGGTAATCGTCGCGGATGGACGAAGTCCGTCAAAATCAACAGAATGGAAATTGAATTGGTCAAAGCTGAATTACTTACAGTTAATTTTGACATGACGTGTAATGAAATCATAAATTATGTGAGATCTATAAAACCAAATATATTAAAAGCAGTGAAAAGTACAGAGAAGTACAATTTATCAAATAATTTTATGAACTTACAGTAGACTATAATCCTAATTAAGTCATTATAATTATTTAATGTTTTAACAAATGTAAAATATATTTTAATTTAATGTGTTGTTGAACACATTAAAAATTTTAACAATGTTAAATTTTACATGTATGAAACATGTGTTAATTTTGCTTTTTTATGAATAAACTATATTTTATATTAAACATAGTTAGTTAATGTTTATGTATAAACCAAATTCTGGAACAGATTTTCCCTTCGCTCTCTTTTTCTTTTAGTAAATCGTGTAGGTAAATTGGATTTATTATCTCTATCCGGTTTTGTCCGGTTATATTTTGTTATCAATGACAAAATGTCCGTTAATTTACACTTTTGGATTTGGCAACCCTATGTATGCGCAACGTTATACGTGGCGTAGATAAAAAATTTGTACATTGATTTTTTTCTACTGACGTAGCAACACTGTTGATTTTCATGTTGGCGTGGCATGTAGTAGGAAGTCTAACGAACACATTCAGTACAATTTTGATGACTAATAATTGCGCATGCAGTTTGTGGTATCAATAATTGTAGAAGTAATTTTTATTTGCACCGTTGAAACGGAGTGTAACATTTTGACAAAACAAAGTATGTAGGTATTAGAAAATTATTCGGAATGAATTCTGATCGAAATTATTCAATTATTCCTAGATCTTTATTGTATTTTCTAAGAAAAACGGAATAATTCCGATCGGAATTCATTCACTTGTTCCATGATAGATGTTCTAAGAATCAAATGTGAAACTCAGGAAGAATGGATCAGAAATTTGTGAAATGTAAACAATGTTAAGAACTCCCAAACCCTTCTTTCATAATGACTTTCCATGCGCGAAACGAAGTTCACCCCATCTCCCCCCTGCCCACGCGGCTTTCGATGTGAAGCGAGATCCATCCCACCCCCTCTTCTTGTCTAGGGGCGTACGATTTTCCACGCGAAGTGAGATCTGCCACACCAAAATATGGTTTGATTATTCTGTTTGATCCTCGCTTCTTGTGCTCTTGGGAGGGGAACTCTTGGCACCCCCCCCCCCCTAAAAAACAACCCAATCCATATTTTAATGTTGGGGTGACGCTCGCTTTGCATTGTAAAATGTAAAGAAAGCAAGGGCGTTGTAAAATGTATTGTCTTTACGCATACAATTTACAACGTGAAGCGTGAGGGGGAGAGTGTGAGGTAGTTCTTAATATTGTACATAGCAGAAATAAAGCATTATTTCTTAAACTTTTTTTGTTTATAACTTTTTAACGAGTACCTTGTTTGAGATTACTCAGGATCGGTATTTTTACCAATTATTTTGTTAATAACTTTTCAACGGATATTTATCGAACGTTATTCAGGATCATGATCTTGATAATATGTGTCCAGGTCAAGATCATTGGAGCGAG